CTTCGACACGACCTGTCAGATGTATTTTGTTATTATCCATGCTACTTTGATTTTTGTGTTGCTTCGATTATATCGTGGCATTTGCAGTGTTTCTGTTTTCAAACGATAAGTGTTGCATGTACCTATATATGAACAGTGTGTGAACTTGCATCTGTCTACATGAAGGGAATGACAACTACAAGATGGGTACCACCAAATACCTGCTCTCGCATGCTCTCGGACAAATCCCACTTCAAATTTGTCTTTTGTTTTCGAACTCGCAACGAAGTAACTGTTGCCTTGACTGGTGCCCCTCTTCCGATTCACAAATGCATTGCTTTATTTTTCTCTGTTTTTTTATGTTTAACCTCCAATCCTTTTCTTCAAATTTCCTTAAGCACTGATTCGTATGAGTACCGTACTTGAATGATTGAATAGATGGACAAGTTCGATTGACTGAAGAATAGGAGGATTCTCTAAAAGTAACATAAAGAAACACGAGGGGAAAAAGCCGAAACAAATAAATCAAGCATTTCAATGCAATGGAAAAAATCAACGAAATAAATCCCAGGTGAAACCCCTCAGAAAACCACAAAAAAGCTGGTTGTGGGGCATGGGCGCACTTGGAGGGTTTGGGATTGGCTCTATTTGAACCCGCACCAAGCGCAACCCCCCCAAGTGCAGCCACACCCCACAAAACCCTAACCCTACCATTGCACCCTCCCCCCTTCCCCCCCCCGCTGCCCCAAGCATTTCAAAGCAATGGAAAAAATCAACGAAATAAATCCCGGATGAAACCTCTCAGAAAACCACAAAAAAGTTGGTTGTGGGGCATGGGCGCACTTGGAGGGTTTGGGATTGGCTCGATTGGAACCCACAACAAGCCCAAACCCCCCAAGTGCGGCCACACCCCACAAAACCCAAACCCTGCCGTCGCGCCCTCCCCCATCCCCCACCCCGGCCCAAAAAAAAGGATATTACGAAGGGTTGCCACTCTGTTCCTTATTGACGATGAAAGAGCAGAGGGAGGAGGGAGCAAAAAAAAAACAAAAAAAAACACTGGAATTCTTGGCTGTTTTGTGGGGCCTGGTCGCACTTGGGGGGGTTGGGCTTGGCTCGATTTGCACCTGCACCAATCCCAAACACCCCAAGTGCGCCCGAACCCCAAAATCTCCCATTTCCCCACCAACACTGATCCCCCCCATGACCCTCCCTGGTACCCCCCCCAAACTGGCGGCCCATAAGCAGTGCCCACTGCCCTGACGCCGACCCCAGGAACCCTCGGTGGCACAGGTGGGGGGTTGTAAGTGGGGGCGGGGAGGGGGGGGGCGGAGGGCGGTGTTTGCGGGGGGTGACGGGGTTGGTGGGTGGGCTCCGGGGGATGTTTTTTTCACGTACGGTTTCTGACCGCCGAGGTCCACCATCCCCAGGCCCCTAACGCGCGCGCGAGGGGCGCAGGGTCGCGTTCAATTTTTCTGCGCCACGTCAAACGCGATTAATCGCCACAGGGCAGCGCTATAGTGGGCTTCAGCGTCTGTGCCAAGGTGTCACATTTTCGGAGGCCGGGGACCAGTACACAAGTGGGTTCTTAGGGGGTGGAAATTTTTGGAGGACCAGTCTTTCAAGTCTTCAAGATATTGAGAACGACCTACGGCTAGCTCTTCTAGAACCAGGACTTTTGGAAATGGAAGGACCCGTCCTCGAGTGGAAGCGGACCCCCCCAAAAAAAGGGCAGGCTTAGTCTGCAGTCTACTTCGCAGCCTTTGCAAAGCGCGAACACGAGGAAATGAAGAAAGAGACAGGCCTTGATAGGTAGCTAGCGGTCTGGCGGATACCAAGTCGCACGCATCTTCGCCAAGGGGTTAACCACAAAATAGGTCGCCATCCAATTGCAGCAGCTATCTATTTCGCAACCAGAATCTGACCCATATTCCAATATTGTCATTCAGCCTCTCTCTCTCTCTCTCTCTCTCTTTGGTAGCCCTCCCCCCCCAATCGCGCCCGCAATCTGACCCATATTCCAATTCTCTCTCTCTCTCTCTCTCTCTCGCTCTCTCTCTCTCTCTCTCTCTCTCTCTCTCTCTCTTTTCTGTTTCTCTTTTTTTGGTAGCCCTCCCCCCCACAATCTCTCTCTCTCTCTTTCTTTCTTTCTTTTGTCATTCTCGTTTTTTGGTAGCCCTCCACAAGCTACGTGGCTCCTACACTCCAGGAACATAGAGGCAGGCCCACCACAAATGTATAGGCATTACCGTTACAAAGAGGACATATCATGTCAGGGTGTCGAACACGAGAACAACGTCGACTGGCATCAAATGTTCAAAAACAAAGACTTACCTGGCCTGTACCTTCAAAATCCTCATGACACAAGGCATGTCGAATCTGTCGATCACGTGCTAGCCGAATCTCAGGTGGGCCATCACAGTGTGGCATTGAGCAGGTTTCTTCGGTTTCCGCAGCCAGTCTGATCCAGAGAAAAGGGTACTTAGCTGCTGCAAGATTGCAAGATCTATGCGCATGAGAG